CACAAAAGTCTAAAGAGTAAAAATATGAAAACAAAACAATCTCACATGGCTAAGAAACATAGAAGAACATCCCAACTGACTTCTATAAATAATAGAGGTAATTTGACATTCAAAATCATAGAGTCTTTTGGTGAGCACAGAGCAAACTATTCTTTCGCTTCAATTAAGCTCGAATTTCAGGCTTCAATCAAGCTTCTAAAATTTTTTTGAGTTCGAGCATTTTTGAGTTCAAGTTTCAATATTATATTTCAAGTTCGAGTTGAACTTGATACTTTTTAGCTCGTGAGTTTTTGAGTCGAGTTGAGCTTACTTTTAAAGTTTTCGAGTTCAACTCGGCTCGTTTAACAAACGACGTCGTTTGATTTAATTTTTCAACCGGTTCACGGTTTGGTCCGGTTCAACGGTTCACAGCCGGTTCAACGGTTCCTTCCGATTCACTAGTAACGGTTTAACCGGTGTAGAATGAATCGGACCAGACAGCGATTTCCTGTTGAACCGATTGAACCGGCCGGTCAGATCCGGTTTTCAAAACATTGTTATTATCAAAGCTAGGGTTAAGCTTCAGACAGCTGCAGACATGGTGGGTTTGCCCTTTCCATGCATGATTAACACTTTTACGCTACGTAATTTAGGCTGTTCTTCGAAGATTTTGTTTTTATTCTTGTTCATGTGATTAGGTAAGATGGATAGGGGTAGTGTACTCCGAGTTTGATGAGTTCACTAGGGATGCTGAGTTTCTGGTGAGTATGAAAGACGACGAGTCGTTTTATTAATTAGAAGGTTTCGTATTTTCCAACAATGACGACCTAATCAATGGCTGGCCTTCCGTACCATTGGACCCGAACCATGGGTTCAACCCGACGCTTATCCCTTCAACCGCCGGCTCAGTCCTCTACTACCTCGAACTGGCGTTTGATTTGCTAGAATCCCTTGAAATTAGGGGAAATTGGAATCCAATTCCACCACTTTCCCATGTTTGGTTCAAGTTTTCAAAGGGGGAATTAGAATCCAATTCCATCAAGGGAGGGAAAGTAAATTTCATCCATAACATGATAGAATTGAAATCCTTTGGAGGATGAAATGTGAAATTTGACCATACTACCCTCATTAATTTTTTGGTATTCGGGTCAGATTTTTTTTAAAAAAAAATTAAGGATCGGGTTGGATTTTTTTTTTAAAATTAGGGGTCGAGTCGGGTCGGGTTTTTTTAAGTTTGATATTCTGGTCGGGTTTTTTAAGTGTGATATTTGGGTCGGGTTCGGGTTTAGGGTGAAAATTACTCGACCTGACCCGAAAAAATATATAATTTTACCTTATATTTTTAGGAATAATTAGAATAATACCCCTCTATATATAATTTTTTCAATTAAGTCACTATTTTTATTGAACAAAAATAATTTTTTTATTATTTCGGGTTGGGTCGGGTCGGGTTTCTAATTCATATATTCGGGTCGGGTCTGGTGAAATTTTATTTTGGTCGGGTCTCGGGTGGAGGTTCCCTTGTTCTCGGGTCGGGTTGGGTGGACCAAAAACCCGACCCATGACCATCCCTAATTGGGATGATTTTAACTTATGATGTTTATTAATATGATTTTTATAATTTATTGAAATGAATAATCAATCAATAAAATGAAAATTTAATATATTCTAAATTTTTATAATATATTACTACATGTAAGTTATAAAATAAATTAAAATTAAGCAAAAAAAAAATAATAAGGGCAATTCTGTCATTTTATATTACTAAAATCAAATTTATCTGACATGTCTGCAAACCAAATTGAATTGCAAATAGAATATGGAATTGGATTCCAATTCAATTTTCTGCCAACCATGCATGTTTCATATTCATATTCAAATTCATACAGATTTAAATTCCTTCACAGATTTAAATTCTCTCATAAACATTCTAGTGGACCAAACGCCACCTTAGTTTTTTAATTTTAAGTGGGTCCCTATAAAACTGTTGACCCGAACAAAAAAATGGGTCCCTTTTATCAACCAATGAAAATAAAGTCAAAGAAAACTCCCATAGATCTTACACGTGTATGAGCTCGGCGACGGAGATGGACCTATTCTTGTCTCCTATCATAACACGAATATAAAACTCACTAAAGCTATTCCTTTTTTATTATTTAAAAAAATAAGAGAAAATATACAAATGGTCCTTCATTATTTGATATTATTTTGTTAAGTCTTCAATTATTAAAAGTTATAAAATAAGCCCTAGCTATAAGATATTATTTTGTCAAGTCTATTGACTATTAAAAACTATAATGATTATTCATATATTTTAAATTGGTCATTTTCTGTTAAAAATCAGTGAACGTTTGAGTTGAACGTTAACCTACTAATTAAGATATGACAAAATTTAATTTCAAAATCGTCTGTGCTATATTTTGTGTATTCACTCTCCATCTACATTACATCATCGAGCCAGTGTTTGAAACATTATATCAATAAACTAGTGTTTGAAAGCGTCAGTGGTGCCAGTAAACATGATTAAAATATAGTTTTATCATATCTTACTCAGTAGGTTAATGTTAATCTCATAGGATCACAATTTTTTAAAAGAAAATGATGAGTTTAGAACATAGGAATAGTCGAGTTACCATTTTGTAACTTTTAATATTTTGGAAACTCAACAAAATAATTCCCTACAGTCAATGGATTATTGTATAATTTTAGTAGTTGAGGAACTCAATAAAGAAATACTCTATAGTTATAGGATCATTTGTGTACTTTACCCTAAGAATAAAATATTTGAAGAGTAAGTTCTCTGGATAAAATGATGTGATTACCCGTAGATCCATCTTTATTTTACTTGTTCAGGCCATGGGTTTTTATCGCGTCTAAACTGGGAGGTAGAGCGAGCGACGGCCGACGGCCTTTGGGAAGCCCCACATCCATGGCTGAACCTCTTCATCTCCAAATTATTTGGAAGCTACCAACTTCGTGGGAACTGGCCTCAGCTCGCACACTCACTGCTCACTGCTTAGGGCCATTGTTCGACTCATGCATAGAAGTTGGGAAATAAAGCTCAAATGGATTCCCCGCGAAGCCAACAGAGTAAAAATCTCTTTCCCTTCCCCTAGCTAAAATTTGTTTAAAAGAAAATACCACATAGTTTCATGGAAGCCGCCCGACCTCTATACCACCTTTTAAAAACAATCGTTAATACAAATTTCATTTACTGGACCATAATTATTAGTATGATTTGAACACTCGATTATTAATAAAAAAGTAAAACAAATCATGGTAGAAAAAAATTAATCAACTTTTTTACAACATCCAATTCAAACAAAAGAATATTAAATACGCAATATCTATATTATACAAGGCTTGAAGCACAATTTGCCCCTAAAGTATATGTATTTTAGGGTAAACTACACGTTTAATGCCTAAACTATTACTTTTGTTTCATCTTGGTACCTAAACTTTATAGTTTTTCAAAATTATACCCAACGTTTAGTTTAGAATTTATTTTAATACCATGTCGTTAAAAACTTAACATAATTGTTGTACGTGGTATTTTTATATGTATATTACATTGTTCATCACTTAACTATCTTCTCTCTTATTTTGATTACTAAAATTTATTTTTTTAACTTTAACCGCTTAACTTTCAAATTACTCCTATTTTAATTCTAATTTATATTATTAACATTTTCTATGATATGACATATTTTAATTATTATTTTATTAATATATGATTAAAATAAAAAATAATATTATACTCAATCCCTAAATCAAAAAGCTCTCATCTCTCATCCGATATCACCCTTACCGGCCTCTTCGACCGGCACCTTCCTGTTCGACCACCCTGTGTTCACCAGTGCCATGCCTCCCAAAGGTTTGTGGTATAAATTTTGGTTTTAGGTACAATTTTAATTTTTTTTAAATTTAATTATATATTAATAAAATAATAAAAAATTGTCATTTCAAAAAAATATTAATAAAATAAATTAGAGTGATTAAAACATGAGCAATTTAAAAGTTGAGTAGTTAAATTAAAAAATTAAACTTTAATGGACAAAATAAGAGTGAGAAGATAATTAAATGATGAATGATGTAATTTACCCTTAAAAATGCCACATGAGGATGATGTAATTTATACTCAATTGTAAATTTAAAAAGCAATCAATTTTGGTCCTCAATTGTGATTAAAATTTTCCATTAATATTTTTTTAATATGTTTAAGTAAGAATTCAAAAAAAATTTAAAAAAATCTATTTTTAAAAAATATATTGAATTTCACTATACATTTTTGAAATTATAAATAAATCTTTAAATTATATTTAAACTTTTTAAATAAAATATAAATAATTGAATCACATTTCTTAAAAAAAAGTGACTTTGCTTTCAGAATTTGAATAATTAAAATTATTGGACCTCAAAAATTATAAATTATAAATTTTACAAATTTAATCATAACTAAATAAAAACTTATTTATAAATAATTTGATGAATTTAAAAAATCATAAATTCGTTATTTTTAAAAATTATTTTATAATTTTAAAAATAAATTTTAAATTTATATATTTTAAAAAATATATTTTTAATAATATTACGTAGAAATATTTAAAAATATCTAAAAAGAAATTTTATTTGTAATCGAGGAGAAAAATGTGATTATTTTATTAATTTAATTTCACTTCTCCCCTTTAATGATAGTTAAAGATTTAATAAAATTTAATATCCATTATATTACTTTTGAAAGATTGATATCTAAAAAGATTATTTTAACATAATTTAGTGATCATTTAAAAAATTTATCTTACAAAATTAATGGATTAATTATGAAGCAGTCCTTGAGTTCTTTAATATTTACTTAATAAAAACCAAATTGATTGATAGTGTGCTTTAGGGTGCTGCATTAATGGTGTATTTCGGTGTTTGCATATTTTCCGTATACTAATCCTTAAGAAAGAAAAGAAAAACAAAGAAAATGTGTTAACGCACCACAAGTTAATTCCATGTATTAAATTGACATTTTTATTTATTTGATAAATAGTAGTAACAAGCAAGAACAAAACTGTTATCGATTATTGATATGGTTCAAATTATTGAACTTCAAAAATCAAAATATAAAGGTTTCTTAAATACTTAATCTCAAAACTTAGGAGAAAGTCTAGTTGTCTAATGTAAGTTTATTTAAACTTATAGAAACGTAAATCATCATTAGACAAAGATTTTGAAGGGCACAGGCTTTCGCAAACGCTTGTTTAATTCCATCCCTAGTAGCAAGTTAAGGGAAAATAAGTTCAAATGGCTTTAAGAGAATTTGGGTCGTTAGGGCTAACAAGCTTAGCCAAAGCAGCGACGGCTAAGGAGTTGACATAAGTGCATGGCTCAGTGTACACCGATGTCCAACGTAGATCACTGAACTTGTCTTGCATATCAGGTCCACCAAGGATGGCTCCCGTTAACTCATTGGGGTTTGGTTGATCCTTGTTGAACCAACGCTCAAAGCTCATGCCGCAGTTGATGTCTAGGTTAGCTTCCGATAACGGCACCGATGCACCCCTGTGGTGCGCCTGTCTAGGCGGACTATTCCCGAACCCGACCATGTATGATCTCCCTTGTGGGTTATGCCCTAGTATGTAGTCTATCTGCAAGTTTCCCACTTTTAAGCAATGAGATATATTGAAAAAGGGTTCAAGGCATTTTATTTTACCTGCTTCTTGGCGAAATCCCAGAGGTGTTGGGGTTCAAACTGTTTATCACCGCATTGGACCTTTTCCTTGTAACGACGAAGCACATTGCCATAGATACTGAGGAGGAAAGCATCTCCAGTAACATACTGAAGGTTGGCTCCATCTCTCAGGTGAATCAAACCACCTGAAATTGTTGATTAATTAGTTTCCATCACAAGTCAGAAGAAAATGATGATGGTGGCGTGCATACGGCAGAAGAGACCTGGAGTCTCCGGAACCTTGAAATAGGGACTTTCGGGAAGAACGGAGCACATGAAACTGTCGGCATGGTCCTTGAAGGATTTCAAAATCACATCATGGCTTTGAAAGAAAGCCTCAGAAAGGAGGACTTGGATTCCAGCATATTTAAGGTCCCAGTTAAACTCATCCACGATCGCATCCAGTGCTTCTTCTGTGATGAACTTCCAATAGATTTTGTCACGGGTGGCAGTGAATAGCCATCCGGCAGCCCACAACAACTCATCGTGATATCCAGAGAAAGAGCAATAGAAGGGGCATTCTCCATCGAAAGTTCCCTTGTTTTTCTCAGCAAATTGGAAAAGCTGCAAACAAAAACGACAGAAGAAGAAGAAGAAGAAGAGGAAGAGGAAGAGGAAGAAGAAACATATTTGAACGCACTGAAATATTTATTTGTATATGCATACCGACTTGGCTTTGTTAAGAAGGCAATGTGAATAATGTAGATCAACGTTTCTAAAGACAATAGAAGAAGCAGCCATTGCGGCTGAAGTTTCAGCTGCAATCTCCGTTCCAGGCCTGCTCTCATTAATCTGCAACACGGTTCTTGGTGTCTTCATATTCTCCGGTCGTACCCAGCACTTATGATCTTCCACAGGGTCTCCAACCTGAACGAAAAGCTTATTCTTCCTGCTAGCGCATTTTATAAAATAATCAGTGCCCCAACGAATAGCCTCATGAACATTTCCCAGTTCCCCAGCAGCTTCAAGTTCGTCTCTGTAAGCAATGGCCGACCATGCAAGGGTGGTGATCGTGAAGGCCATTGGCAACCCATACTTGACATTGTCTCCTGCGTCGTAATACCCTCCAACAAGGTCCACCTAGTGATTAATTTAACCATGTTAAATCAACATGTAATGCAAAGATTATAAATGGAAGCACATAACTCATCCGATGCTTCGACCAACTATGTCAGTAGAGATAATAAAATTCTGAACAGATATTATCTCGTAATTACTCAAAATATTAAAAAAAATTGAGGAGAATAATTGAAAAGGGTTGATGATTACATGTTCATCTTGTCCATCCGTAAGAGCGGAATCTCCCCTCCATTTGACTCTATGATTAGGAGGGAGTTTCCCAGACCTTTGGGCTTCCAAGAAAATGAGGGATTTTGAGAGGGCTTCCTTGTAGTCAAAAACTTGACCGCTAACGGCGATTAGACACCATTGGAAGATCGCCAGCCATGCAACGACGGCGGCCGCAGATGTTCTGGAGAAAGTTCCCATTGAATTAAAATGACCCATAATTCTAATTTCAATATCTATACCAATTATAAGCTTATAATCAATGGTCTTCCTAAGAGCTCCGAGACGTCGGAGCTCTGTGTTTTTATTTAGTTTTATTTTTTCCCCTCCGAGTTTTGGAGAGTGATGAATGGGGGAAGAAGAAGGAGGAGAGTATTTATAAGTAATCCCAAAATATTTTTCTATGCTAAATTTCAATAATGGTGGAGAGTCGTGCATTTCGCCACGAATATGTTAGTTAAAAACGGAATCTATAATTAGTACGAGGTGAAACTAATTCCGATGTTATCTGAAGACAGTTTATTAAGATTTTTTTATTTGGTAGCTCTTTGGTTACTATGGGTTCATCTTAACTAGTCCAGACCTATTCGAGTCACATATCTAATTTTGATTGGTGAGTCTTCCGGCAGAAACTTTCTACATACATAAAGACTCGAACTCAAGACTTACTTGAGTAATATCAGCGAGGAGTTTATTATTTTTTTTTAACATTACAAGTAGATGAGATCGTTTCATTATTACATCCTAAAAATTTAGGATGCTTACTTGGACGAGATGGAAGGTTAAGAACGATAAGATCTATTGAAAATTCAATTCAGCAAAAGGAAAAAGAAATGGATTCTGGAAAGACATGTAATTGAAGGCATGCATCAAGGTTCTAGCATAAAACATTTTAAGCTCTAATTAAGACCTTATATACATTACTGCTATCATCCCAACTAACACGCTTCAACATTTCAAAGCTTTTACGGCTTCCTAAGAAGTCAATTCGTTTGAAAATCACATATCCACATTCCACTGCCTGCTTGCTCGAGTACACTGCTCGAAGCCGGTCCGCATGCCTCGAATCCGTGTGAATTGCAGACTCGATTTCATGTGCGGTCATGTTTTCCTGCAAATAAACAACATGATCACTCAGGTAAAGATTCGAGAAAGCCCTTGCCCGAGGGTCATTGGACGAATGCCGGAGTTGAATGCAGTTTCGAACATGTTGCAGAAGCAATGTATAGGTAAGAAAACTCGGTCCAACATAGATACCTGATAAAAGGCATAGATATAATCCAAAACCTGTAAACAAGTAAAGCCATTATAGCTGAAATATGTCCGTGAAGAAGGCCCCATCTCCAAAAATCGATCGACCGGAAATAATATGGTAAGAAACTGGTTTCTAAATATCAATTCATTTTTCTCACTGCCAACAAGTTACAGGAAACAAATGGTGAGACAATGCATAAGTTATGTAACATGAAAATGAACCAAAATTTATAGGACAAGTCAATCACCTCTCTGTAAGTGACCGAGTCAAGTTCATAAATGAGGCCCCCGTATCCTTACCATCACCATTGGCATCGAAGAACACGGATTGATGATCACTAACATCTTCGCTGCTAAAAGAGTCGGTGTAAATAGAAGCATTTGAAGTTGGTTCTGATACTGACCAGCAAATTGAATTCAGAAGAATGCTTGGACTTATTGGATGGATTGGGGTTTGACATGTCTGAAATAGAACAGATATGCTAGATAAATGCCGACGTTCCTTAAAGATAGCATAACAAGTCACAATTCGTGCCAGTCTGCTAGGCTAAAGTTCGAAGCCGTGATACATGCAGTAATCAGCTACCAAAGATTAACCACTTGCCTGCATATGATGACCGCGGCGATTTCTAACCCCGGTTTTAGCTAAATGTACAATCTGTTGCCTTTCTTTACGGCTTGTGTTCCTTTTGAAGCTCTCAGTATCTTGTATGAACTTAACCACACTGTTTTCCTATTGAACCATAGATGAAACCTTAACATTGACATCAAACACTTGCAAGGAAAAATCAATACGCAAACATCATGTAAACATTGATCCGTTGATAAACTCAATCGGAATTGAAAAGAAAAGATAGTCGAAACCGAAGCAGAAATTTGTTACCCCAAAAAGGTGATAGTTAAAGGTCAAAGCTCAATAATTTGTTATCATTGAGGGAAAGTTATGTAACATTTATGTCTTTAAGTACCTCTCTTACAATGTGATTCTGGGAATTTTCGAGCACTGTTCCGATCTGCCTAGCCAAATCAACAGACATGTGAACAAGCTTCTGCATATTCCTATCCTCAGCTGTTCTAAGGATCCACAGTGGCTTGAGACGTTAAATAACAAATCAGTTCCAGAATTACAAAGCAGATTATCCTTGTAAGTGTTGTGAGCAATAACTCACCGTAACAATGTTGTTACAATGGCCGATATATCGATGGATAGAATTCCGTTCGCACACCAGAAGACTTGCACCGCAACCAACGAACCATCGGTCAACTGTTGCGGCCCCTTCTTTAGACACAGTCTCAAGAACCTATCAAACATACAAATATTGACTACCCTCGCACTGATATATGGAATTTATCCTTACATCATACAACACATACGGAATATTACCTTATTCCGTAGTTCATCAGAAATATCATATTCAACATACACCGTATGGCCGGATAGCATCGAGTCCATACTTTTATTAGGGACTCTTAGGGAAAATTGCGAGTTCGGTTTTTCTATCATGTCAATCTTCATGGCTTCAAGAAAACCAGAAGGAAGACAAGAACTTTCAGAAGCTGGAGACTTGACGAGCCGATTCAACTCATCTACATGCGTTTTATGGTCTCCAACACCCTTCACAGTGTAGAGTGATTCACTTAACCGAACTGCAGCAAATGAAGAAAAAACAATTATTTATATATACTAACAGAAATCAAATTCTATGGTAGAATTTGCAATAGCCATCTTTCATACAGAGGCAGACCATGTCATTAAAACATGTAAAGTGTAAACTGCAAGCAGCATTGTGGTTCAATACCAAACAACAAGATAATTTAGTAAGAAATTTTCATATTGGACAACCTTGTAAGTCGCAACGATTCGAAAAGAGCATGTTTTAAAGCAGCCTGATCTTACCATTCCTCTTGACACTGTCGACAAACCATCCGAGCGTTACGACGAAAAGACTGTTTCTCGATCCATGTTTTAGAGCATGCTCGAACTTACGACCGCAAATGCTGTAACTAACATTAAGGATGAGATGACTATTGCCCCAGTTGAAACAATACAAATAATATGAAGCTTTATTGTCCTAAACATATTGTAATAGTGTTAGAAAATACTAATCATATTGGTCCTGATCTTTTCTCTTGATTCCAAAATCACCCAAGTTTCAAATGATGGGACAATCTTAGTAGTTCAAATGGAGAACAACAATGATAATAAGAAAGGATATTTGGACAACCAAATGGGTACATAGAGGCTGTAAAGTAGGACTATATTGACCACCTAATCTCACTGCTGCTTCCATAACCTGTTTCCTTGCTTCTGAAAATAGACATGAATTGCATGAAGAAAGAACAAGAAAAATCAACATTTATAATAGCAAGCCTTATGTTCAATCAAAGGTCAAGCACCCGGAATCAAAATCATACAAGTATAAATTAAACTCAGTAAAAATTACCAAAATGATCAATTTGCCAACCTTTAGATAAGCCAGTCACACAAATAACCAGACCAGAAAACGGACCAGTGGATCGAACCGTTGATGGTTCAGAGCCAAGGGAGGTAGAAGCAGGGGACATTGGTTCAACCGATCGGAAACTTCTAAATGATGGCATTGAAGATGAGAACCCAACAAACAATCTTGAACAGCCTTTTCTGTTTATCACTTCCACCCTATTAAGACCACCCATGTTTTCTTCTTTCATTCAAATCAAAAAGTTCGAAATTTTGCCTGAAAATTTGAAGAGGAACTGAATACAATTGAAACCCAGAGAAAGAAAACTTGAAATAAGTGAGTCAAAAGGGTCGAGACAGTGAAAGAAGGAATCTTGAATGAGAAAAACGAAGAATCAAATAAGGAAAGTAGGAAAAAAAGAATCAGAGATTGGAGACAAAACGAGGATTTTTATTTATCTTTCTCGAGTATGTTAATAATAAAGCTATAGAGGAAAGAAAAGGTGATTTCTTTTTGAAGGAAGTGCGTTGTTTTTGGGCTCTGCCATAGCCATAGAGTACAGACTACAGAGAGAAACTTTGGGTGTCTTTTACTCTCTTTTTTCTCCTTTGCTTTATTGAGTGTTGTTTTGAATAAGAAGTGAACCATTTTAAAGTTTGCAGAAGGAAAAAGAAAGGCAGCCATGCCAACTATCAGTGGCACGGGACAACTTTGTTTCTTTCGCTCTCTTTTTTACAGTAAATTTCTCGTGGTTTCAAAAGTTTGATACTTTTTTTTTTCCTCTTTATCTCCAAAATGGGCTCGTGATTTCATTGAATTCATCAGTGTACCATTACCGGACACCAGCTCCCAGCCAAGTGGTTGAGTTGAGCTTGAGCCCCCCACCATGCAAATGGAGGGAATGATTTGAGTTTTATCCAGTTGGCTGATTGTTTTATATATTTATTTTTCTTCTGATGGTGACTTAAATGAATTTGTGAATCACACCTTTTCCTTCAACAGTACTTTCACTTATTATCGAGATTGTCTTAGGAAATGTGGGTTAATATACGGTAGTACTATATACATTAAAATGTATTTAATAAATTCGGTTTAGCGGTACCTATTATTTTGACAACTAATAATGTTTTAGGTAGAAAATATGAAAAATTATTAAAAAATTTGGTAACCGGTAAACTTTGGTTATCGGTAAATATCTATCCTTTTTATAAAAGTGTTCATACTTTTAACATATCAAGTAAATTTTACCGGTTTTGTCATAATGAATCTAGTTTTATCATATTTTTACATGTTATATTGTAAAGTATCTATCCTTTTTATAAAAGTGTCCATACTTATTTCATTGTGAAAATATATTTATTATTATCTTTGGTTAATATTGTTAAATTTAAATTCTAAATAATATTTTATAAAATATCAAAACAATCAAATAATTTTGTGTGTAAATGAAATTATTAAATTAATATTTGTAGGTGGAAAACATGAAACACTATTAAAAAAATTGAAACATAAATTACATAACTTTAAAAAAAGTATATATCATTTTTATAAAAGTGTCCATACTTATTTCATTGTGGAAAACATATTTATTATTATCTTTGGTTAATATTGTTAAATTTAAATTCTAAATAATATTTTATAAAATATCAAATAATCAAATAATTTTGTGTGTAAATGAAATTATTAAATTAATATTGTAGGTGGAAAACATGAAACACTATTAAAAAAAATTGAAACATAAATTACATAACTTTAAAAAAAGTATATATCATTTTTATAAAAGTGTCCATACTTATTTCACTGTGGAAAACATATTTATTATTATCTTTGGTTAATATTGTTAAATTTAAATTCTAATAATATTTTATAAAATATAAAAAAATCAAATAACTTTGTGTGTAAATGAAATTATTAAATTAATATTGTAGGTGGAAACATGAAACACTATTAAAAAAAATTGAAACATAAATTACATAACTTTAAAAAAAGTATATATCATTTTTATAAAAGTGTACATACTTATTTCACTGTGGAAAACATATTTATTATTATCTTTGGTTAATATTGTTAAATTTAAATTCTAAATAATATTTTATAAAATATAAAAAAATCAAATAACTTTGTGTGTAAATGAAATTATTAAATTAATATTGTAGGTGGAAAACATGAAACACTATTAAAAAAAATTGAAACATAAATTACATAACTTTAAAAAAAGTATATATCATTTTTATAAAAGTGTTCATACTTATTTCACTGTGGAAAACATATTTATTATTATCTTTGGTTAATATTGTTAAATTTAAATTCTAAATAATATTTTATAAAATATCAAATAATCAAATAATTTTGTGTGTAAATGAAATTATTAAATTAATATTGTAGGTGGAAAACATGAAACACTATTAAAAAAATTGAAACATAAATTACATAACTTTAAAAAAAATATATATCATTTTTATAAAAGTGTCCATACGTATTTCACTGTGGAAAATATATTTATTATTATCTTTGGTTAATATTGTTAAATTTAAATTCTAAATAATATTTTATAAAATATCAAAAAATCAAATAATTTTGTGTGTAAATGAAATTATTAAATTAATATTGTAGGTGGAAAACATGAAACACTATTAAAAAAAATTGAAACATAAATTACATAACTTTAAAAAAAAGTATATATCATTTTTATAAAAGTGTTTATACTTATTTCACTGTGGAAAACATATTTATTATTATCTTTGGTTAATATTGTTAAATTTAAATTCTAAATAATATTTTATAAAATATCAAATAATCAAATAATTTTGTGTGTAAATGAAATTATTAAATTAATATTGTAGGTGGAAAACATGAAACACTATTAAAAAAAATTGAAACATAAATTACATAACTTTAAAAAAAGTATATATCATTTTTATAAAAGTGTTCATACGTATAAAAGTAGGTCTAAGTCATGAAAAAATATTAAAACGATATACCAGGTAAAAATATGATAAAACCGGTAACAAAATGATAAAACCGGTAAAACGTTACCGGATATATTGAAAGTGTCGATACTTTATATAAGGATCGACACTTTGTGAATTTAAAAGAGAAGCAGTTTTAGCGCTTATAATGTGTCGTTACTTTAAAAAAAATATCGATCCACAACGATATAACAGGTAAAAATATGATAAAACAGGTATCAAAATGATAAAACCGGTAAAATGATACCGGATATATTGAAAGTGTCGATACTTTCGTAAGTACGTGTAATAAATTATTGACACTTTCAAAGAAATAGGTAATTATCCTTTCGAAAGTATCGACACCTGACATAAAAGTATCGACACTTTTGTATTTGTATCGATTAAATATAAATAACATATCCGATCAAAATATAAGCTAAATCTCCTCTGAAAATAGATAGAACGGACGAGTTTTTGAAAGCGGAGCGTAATTGTTGCTGCATTTCAGAAGGCGTTTCTAAAGCGAAGTTTGTTTGTTTGTTGCTGCAGTCGAATCGAAAAGTATGTTGTCGAAACCCTAATTTTTTGTTATTACAGTAATCGCGATAGGATTTTTATGTGTTGTTTGGGGTTTTGTAGTAAAGAAGCATTTGGGAACGATTGCAGGTAGAAAGTGATATTCAAGGAAAAATATAAATGTCGATACTTTATTAAATATATAAGGTAGAAAATGATATTATAGGTTGTATAAAATGTGCCGACACATTTTGGTGTGGCCATTCAAATTCTTTTGAAGAAAACCGTTTTACCACGAGAGTAGTTATCTATATTTGTATATTGAATAAAGTGTATGTAACAAAATAATTTGATTTGCGTAAACTGATATATGAAGGAAAAATGGAGTCAATGGGTTGGAAAATTGTTGGTGGAGCAGATGACTTTGAAATTGAGGTCGAGACTCGAAAGCAACCCAAGGGTGGATATATGTACTTCTAGTAAGTATCAATGTCTTTTTGTTATTATTGTTGAAATGGTAATTGGATTAAAGTATCGATAAACTTTAAATTGATTACAAATTTTAAATGTTGACAGTATGGCCGAATGCAAAAGGATAAAGGAAGATGGCACACAGAGCGGTTCGGTATGTAAAATGAAATTGACATTGACATTGAGTAGTATTTAGTGTTAATGTATTGATTAAGAAACGTTTATGTTTTATATTAGGTGACAAAAGATGTGAGGTCCAAATGGAATTCAATGAGTGATGCTGAAAAGGAACCTTACATCACACAGTCAAGGAATGATAGTAAAGAATACAAAGAACGGAGGAAAGCACATGAAAATAAGGTATTCATTAAACTTGTAAATACGTTGATACAAAATATATAAGAACTATAACATTATATATTGTTAAAAAATGTAGGAAGCGTATACAAGATGCAGTATTAAAAGGGTGAATTTATTAATTAAACACCTTAAGGAGAAGGGTCAGTTGAATGTGCTGGGAGAAATAGGTTTTGGATCGTTGGTAGGAGTAAGGGATCGACCTATTCGGAGGGAATTGTGTCGATCCTTGATGGCGCAATTTGATGTCAGGCAATGTATTGCTAAATATGGTGATTTTTCATTTCCTCTCGGGATCTCATGTGCTGCAGCCGTATTGGGGGTAGAAAATGAAGGCAAAAGTGTTGTAGAAGTCTGTCAGAGTAAGGACTGGAAAGCACTTGCCTCCAAATATGGTTTGAAGTATAAGGTGACATATGCTGAAATTGAAGAGGAAATAAAAAGTGGATCTTACGTTGGGGATGAGCTGAAGTCCAGAGTTCTATTATACCTTGTCGGTATCTTTCTTTGTCCAACAGGTAATACATCAACGAACAAAGAACATATGAAGCTCATTTGTGATGAAGGCTTGAAGGGTGAATTCAATTGGGCTGAATATATCCATTCGAGATTGATTGAATCAATAATCACCTTTAAAAAGGACAGTCAGAGATACCTCAAAGGGTGTATAGCAATCTTAGAGGTAAATGAGTTGAAGAACTTTTTTGTGTTTTTATATAAAAATATAAATTTTATTATAAATGCAGGTTGCACTATTCGATTTTTGGTCGGCCTGTGAGGCAGTGCCGGCTTATGAAAGAACCGGAGTGGCACGCATCCGTGCATGGGGGAAGGAAGAGGTGGTTAGAGTGATGGTGAAGTTGGATAGAGCGAAAAACCAAGAAAGGGTAATAAATGTAATTAAATAATATTAAGAATATAATTAATGTCTTAATATTGTAATTTAATTTTGAAGGTTATTGGCAAGGATGTAGAGGAGGCAGTGGAGGCAGAGGAAAAGAAAGGAGGGATGATTGTATTGGGGGATGATGGTGAGTGGGACGACGGTGAGGGAAAATGTAGTAACTTTGACATTTTGATGTCTGAATTGGCTGATATCAAAAAAATCCAATTTGAAATCATGCAAAGACAATCAAGAGTCGAAGAGAAACTTGAGAGAGTCGAAGATACACTTGAGAGGCATAAGGGGGTAGTGGAAGGAAAAATAGATGGATTGGTGAAAGAAGTAGAGGTGTTGAGGGGTGAAGTGGTGAAAGAAGTTGGGGTGTTAAGGGGTGATATTAAGATGGTGACGGGTGAAAAATTTGAGGGAGTGGTGAAGGAGGTTGTGGAATTGAGGAGTGAACTTACGGGGGTGAAGGGGGTGGTTGATAATACTTGGATGAAGGAGATCAATTGAAGGGTGAAATAAAAGAGATGAAGAGCTATGTAGAAAAAAATACGATGAACTGAAAAATATGAAGAAGAAAAGAGGGAGGAGGAAGAAGAAGAGATGGAAGAAGTGAGGAGGAAGGAAGTCAATGTCATTTATACACCTGAGAGTGTTATAGCAGCAGA